CCTGCTGAAAGCTCTCTAAATCTAATGCCCATAACCTGCTCTAGTTCCAGTAACATCTTCACCTGTTGCTTTCCTGATAAAATACAGCGCCTTGATAAATTAACCTATTGCACGCCAAGGGCAGCAAAGACAGACATATGGTGATCCAAACTAAGACAGGTGGCTTTGAGAATGGAGAGAAACAGACGGGTCTCGGCGATGCTTCCGAGGGAGGGTGGGCATCGCTGGTGATTGGAGTGGGAGGTGAGGGGGAGGGAGGGTGAGACGTTCCACACAGCACCACACTTAGCTGTTCAAGATTTTCCCAGGATCAGCCCGAGTCCTCTATCGTAAATAAGCTCTTGGGGGGATTTCAGCCTTTGGAAACCGGAGGAGTTCAGGCCCGTCTCACTGAATCTTGGTTTATGGGCTGCCGATTTGGAAACAACAGTGGCTCTTCCTTGCCAGCAGGACAAGCGCGTACAGGCAACTGGAGCAAATATTGCACAACAGACAGAAAGTATACAATGTCGGGTGGCGGTTGTACCCGCTGAGCAGGGCAGAGAAGGAAACCTTGGCAGGGTGGCTGCAGCAGCAGGGGCGGGAGGGGGATGGTGGAAGAAATGTCACTGCGCCTGGAATGCCCCAAACAGGACTGGGCAACCTCCACAGAGGAGATTGGGAGAACGCCAAGATGTCGGTATGCACCCCCTCCCAAAGGGTTCAGAACCAAGTTCAGAGTTGCACAGAACTGTGGTCGCCCAAGTTAACAAGAAGTCCTGGCTCTGGCCATTTCTGGAAAGCTGAGGAAGACCATGGAGCCCTTGGATATGGACATGGCGCCTTATCCACCACCCAGAGTCGGTACAGGCAGCTCAGCAATTCTCCACCCCTCATCCGCTCCGAAGTGCGTGCCTTGAGCTAAGTCCCATGTTTCTCCCTTGGTCCACCCTTCCCCTCCCACCGCATCCTAAACGCCTCTTGACTGCCCTGCAAGGCCCCAGTTCTAGTTCCATCATCTCTCACCTAAATGATCAGAATGCTCCTCTAACTGTGTTCCAGGCTCCCAAATTCTGAGTGATGAGCAAAACAAAAGGTTCTTTCTGTTGCAAACCAGGGCTTTTGGAAGCATCTGTGCGAGTCCCATAGCTCAACTGGTAGAGAGAGGTCCTCTCAGCCAAGCAGGGCACAGGGGAGGCGAGACAAGGACGGCATACCTGTCAAAGGAGGGCCGCTCCCCCGCGTCGAAAGCATCTCTCAGCTGCTTTACCAGGTTGTCCTGCCCAGGCAGTCGGAAGATGCCCTCTTCGTTCAGGCCGTGCTCCAGGATGAACTCGGCACACTTCTCCACCAGGATGGGCACCAGGTGGGGGCCGAATTTCTGCTCATAGGCCACGGTCTCATCCAAGCGCTGGCCGAACACCGCTGGGAAGAGAAAAAAGCAGAGCCTGCCCATCACTCTGACTTCCCTTGGAGGAACTGATAGGTCAAAGTGATTTGTCTATGTCTTGATTTTCTGCAATGATACTAAACAAAAGACAGAAGACAAATCACACAGAATATTTCCTGGGGCTCTAAATTGGGGGAGGTCCACTTGAAGCAGCCTGTCAGTCTTTTTCTGTTTGTCCACATTTATCATATTTAAAATAACAACTCACTTTTAATGAGTGCTTGTTTTGTGCTTAGGAATCGTGCTAAATTTGTACACCTTTTCTCATTTAATCTTGACAGGAATCCCACGAGATGTTGATATCATTGTGCCCGCCTTCCTATGAAAGATACTGAGCCTTAGAGGTGCTAATGAACTTGCCAAGGTCAGGGGCCAGGACACAGTACCATCAGAATTCAAGCCCAAGCAGTAAACTCAAGAGAAGCAAGCAGGCCATTTTGAATTCTGCTTGTGTCATGTAGCTTTAAGGCATAATAGTCTATCATGCGGATCTCTCATACCGTATTAAACCATTGCGGCATTTTAAATAATTTACGTTGTTTACCGGGCTCTAATATTATGAGCATGGCCACAGCGAACATGGCCACCCCCCCTAGCAGAGTTCCTGGAATGTATATAGTGCAATGTATAGTTCCTAATTAATTGCTTAATTGATTAATTAACATTTGGCTGGATGAACATAGGCTCTTCCTTCTTTTGGGCTATTTCCTTAGGGCATTCTACATTCCCACATGTAGAATTACTAGTTCAAGTGGTTTGAACATTTTAATGACTACAGTATGCAAATTGCTTTCTAAAAATATTTTTCCAAATTACACTGCCTTCAGTGTAATTCCCTCCCTCCCTTCCCTCCCCTCCCTCCAGCATGTGTGGACCATCTCCACTGAGCCCTGTCAGCACTTGGCTCTATAATTTCCCCACCCCAGCAGTGTAACAAGGTTTGTTTATAAATCAGGACACTGGTTGGCTGGGCCCCGTGCCTTTTGTGCCCTGGAGATTCAGAAGACAGTCATGGTTTCAGCTCTGTCCTGCCTGGCTTTCTCTCTGGCATAATTAGGGCTCTGTTACACTGACCACTCCAGTCGCTAGGACACTGCTCCCAAAGCCCTTTGGTTTCCCCCATGATTCTCTCTGGTTGGTCCCCTTTATCCAGTCTCTAATTAACACGGATGCCACATGTAAAGAGCTGCAGCGATCTCTCTGGAATCCACCGTGTCCTCCCCACTTCCCACTGCCCTAGGTCAGGCTGGACTCCTCTCTCACCTCCCCCTGCTGTGGTCTCCTCTCCTGTAATTGTTCAAAACCCTCCTGCTATTTAAACAACTGGTCTACCTGAGCACGTTTGTCCTTGTTTTTAATAGTCACCCACTTCTTCCCCAGTTGCCACACAGCGATTTTCAAATTCCCCCTTCAAAGCTCCAGGGGTTCCTCAGAGGCCCCTCAGATGCTGAGAGGTGAGGGCATTTTGGAGGAGCTGAGCACGTGGGCCTCCCTCCTCCCTCCTCCCAACCCGACCTGCTGGGTTGTTGTCTGTTTTACTTACAGCATTCCAGTGAGAATGTTTGCTTAAATATGTCTGTGGCTAAAATTTGAAAACCAGGTTGGCATTTGTACTGGCTCCTACCTACCTTTCTGCCTGATCTGGCACCTCAAGCTGATGATCTCAAAGCCCACAGTGCTCTCCAGTCCTCATGCCCTTGCTGAGGCCGTCTGTTTATCTCTCCCTTCCCTGTCTACTAAGATTCTACGTGTTCCTTGGCTCGACTCAATATCATCACCTCTGCCAAGTCTTCCCTGACCCAGCCCGAGGGGTTCCATTGCCACTCTGTGCACCTGTATCCCTTCTGTAATACCCCAATCCCTTGTCCACTGTGTTATTGTCATTTGTAAGTACTATGCCCTCTGCAAGACTGTAGGCTTCCTGAGGCCGGGAGTACGGGGAGGGGTCTCTTGTCATTATCTTGTTTAGCATGGGGCCTGGCCCAACATAGACAGTCAACCAGTTTTGCTGAATTACTTAATGAATTATGTCATCTTTAAGCAAGTACTTTCCGTGATTCATGACAACTTGGGCATTTCTATAGTTTAAACAATAGTAGGGACCCCATCAGTAAATGAATTCAGCTTCACACTAACATCTATTGAGTGCCCTGCATGTGTCAACAGCAGGTCACGTGAAATGGGTTATACAGAAAAGGAGGGACTGTAAGATGTGGTTCTCTCTTTCAATTAGCTTATCACCAAGTTATGAAAATGAAAGGACTCCATGCAAAATAATGAGAAACAGTTAGAGGATGTGAGGAACTATACAGCGTTAGGTTTCTCTTTGTCTATGAAAGGAGCTAGATAGACATTTTCACCAAAGTGGAAGGAAATGATTAAAATGATCTGACTCAAAACAAAGACGAGGAGACATTTGTAAAATTCCCTTTGAGGGGTCCAGGGAGGGCACCCCAAAGGGAGAAGCAGATGCATTTCAGAGTAGTTGAAACTTGGGCTCAAGGAGCCCACTGGATGCCCATGGAGAGAGCTACTGTCACGGAGATGTCAGAGCTGTCAAACATGAGCTCCAACTCTGAGGTCCCAAGGCAGACGATCTGGAATCAAGTTCCTTCTTCCAGCCCTCTGCACAGCCTACCCACCAGCTTTTCTCCTCAACCGAGTCTCTCAGCCGTGTCCTGTGTTCATCTTCTCTTTCTCCTAGGCCCACAGTCAGGCCTTTCAATGTCATTCTCCCCGGGACACTCTTTTACCAACATTCCTTTTCCGTCCAGCATCTCCACCACCCCCTCCATGCCCTTCTCAGGCCACCTAGGTACAGAGCATACCGATGTCCACAAGACCTTCAGCCCAAATCTTCACCACGCAATCCCCTCCCCTCTGCCTCAGCAGGTGACCTTGTTTCCTCCTTCCCTTATCCCCCCAAATGAAGGGCATCATGAGAGAGCCCCCTGGTCTCCAGTCTCTGCCTTTCCTCCTCTGTCCGTCTGCCTGTCCTCTCTCAGGGGAAGAAAAGTACCCTAGGCTTTCCTCTAAGATGATGTTTCTTGAACTGTGGGTTCCATCCTTTTCCACCTCCTCTAGGTCTTCACTCCTCTTTTATACCTTAGATTGAAAGAGCATGTGAGTCTAAATCTTTACCAATTTATTAAAGAATCATCTCTCACCCCTGCTCTCACGCAATCAACTAATACCTGCCTTTCTTCTCTTCACCAATATGCTCATAGAAGAACATGTCTACTTCTGGAGAGAGTCATCCACCCTCATAGCCTCTACTGTTTCCCTTGTTATTCATGTAAACTCTCAATCCATCTCAACCTGGTTTCACAAGCTGCATCTTCCCATCCCATCTGCCCACTAAGATTTCTCGTGCCCTCCTAATGGCCAGATCCGACCTATGTTCATTCCACACTCTACTGGTCTTCTCTGAAGACTCTGTGGTATTGATTCTCCTTCCTTGCCCAAGACTTTCTCCTTATGTGGCTGGGAAACAGTCCACCCTCATTCTAGTCTCATCTCTCTGCAGTCTGCTCTGCATGCTCCGGTACTTGCCCTTCCTCCACCTGCCCCTTCAGGGTGTCATTTCCTAGCATTCCAACTCAGACTTCCCCTCCCTCTAGATGTTATCCTTGGGAAAGTTCATGCAACTCCATGCATTTGGATATCACCTATAAACTGACACATAAATCCGCATACCTGGTCCAATCTCTCTCTATACATCATCTCTATCTCCCTCATTTCTTTCTGCCCCTCTTCTGTGCCTATAAGCCCAACATCTGATGGCAGCTCTCCCATTGTCTTCTCCAATCTCACTCTCATCCCGTCCCCTACTCTCCCATTTCATTGCTTCTCCTACACACTTCCTCACAGGCAATAGCCTTCAATGAATCAAGCAGTCAAGCAGCAGGCACTTTCCTAGGCCTTGAGAGTACAAAGCCATTAACGCAAGGTACCCGCCCTCAAGCAATCCAGTTAGCAAAAGTGTGAGCATTAGAAGTATCTGCAACAACCCTCCATCCTTCTTAACAGATCAGGACCTTTTAAATCCCCTTTAAACTCTTTCTCTTCTCTATCCTCGCTCGTACTGTCCACATTATTGTAATGGTTTCTTTTGCGGTTCTTTTTCTTGAAAATTCCTTCCACTGGAACGAATGAAATCATTTGGCAAATATAGACTGAGCGTCTGCTGTGGACCAGGTTCTTTGGTAGCTGGAGATTACGATAGAAAGAAGGAAAAATAGTCTTTCTCTTAACAACTCTGGAGTGAAGGGGCTTCCCTGGTGGCGCAGTGGTTGAGAGTCCGCCTGCCGATGCAGGGGACACGGGTTCGTGCCCCGGTCCAGGAAGATCCCACATGCCGCGGAGCGGCTGGGCCCGTGAGCCATGGCCGCTGAGCCTGCGCGTCCGGAGCTTGTGCTCCGCAACGGGAGAGGCCACAACAGTGAGAGGCCCGCGTACAGAAAAAAAAAAAGAAAAACCTAATCAATTCAAACCATGGCCCGATACTATACATCTGGTTCTAGAACGTGCCTTTTTGATTTTAATATTTCATAAAAGCCTTTATTCTTTTAAATAGATACATAATAAATAATTGTATTCATACATTAAAATATCTTATGTAAGGAATCTCCTTAAAACACTATAACAGGGGCTTCCCTGGTGGCGCAGTCGTTGAGAGTCCGCCTGCCGATGCAGGGGACACGGGTTCATGCCCCAGTCTGGGAAGATCCCACATGCCGCGGAGCGGCTGGGCCCGTGAGCCATGGCCGCTGAGCCTGCGCGTCCGGAGCCTGTGCTCCACAACGGGAGAGGCCACAGCAGTGAGAGGCCCACGTACCGCAAAAAAAAAAAAAAAAAAAAAAAAAAGACAATTCTGGAGTGAAATCCCTCCCTCCTGCCCACCTGGAAACCTGATTTTCCTGCAGCCTGAGTTCAAACACCTTCTTCTAAGAGGGAGTTGGTTACTCGCTCTGCT